CAAACCCAGGGCCTCATGCATGCAAGGCAAGTGCTCTACCACTGAGCCACCTTCCCAGCCCCGTAGATACTTAACTTCTATTGTGCCAACAGTGGACTAGATTCAGGAAATACAAAATCCCATTGAAGAAAACTTTCGCTGTCCACTGGGTACTGGTTGCTCATGCCTGTAATCCTAGCTACTCAGGAGGCTGACATCTGAGCATTACTGTTGAATGACGTAGGCACATTTTGAACCTCTGCTCTTATTTTGGAATTAAATAATTTTCCTTGAATGCCCTGGGTAGTTGTGAGGAATGCAATTGAGACATCATACTCTTACAGAGATATATTTAAGTTTTATATTTTTTTTCATCTTGTCCTTTTAATTCATTATATTCTTTAGATTTATTTTTTATTTTTATTTTTTGGGTCTGGTCATGGGGCTCGAACTCTGGGCCTGGGTGCTGTCCTGCAGCTCTTCAGCTCAAGACTAGTGCTCTACCACTTGAGCCACAGCGCCACTTCCGGCTTTTTTTCTTTTTGCTTATGTGGTGCTGGGGAATTGAACCCAGGGCCTCATGCATTCAAGGCAAGCGCTCTACCACTGAGCCACCTTCCTAGCCCTCTTTAGATTTTTATAAAAAAAAGATCATTTACTTATTTATTTATTATTTTTAATTTTTTGGGGGGGGTCCAGTCATGGGGCTCGAATTCTGGGCCTGGGTGCTGTCTCTCAGCTCTTCACCTCAAGGCTAGCGCTTTACCACTTGAGCCACAGTGCCAGTTCTGGCTTTTTTTTTTCCTGCTTATGTGGTACTGAGGAATCAAACCCAGGGCCTCATGCTTGCAAGGCAAGCGCTCTACCACTGAGCCACCTTCCCAGTATGTGTCTTTATTCTTACAAATCTTTTATTGGGTTTAAGAATTGTCAGAATTGTGGAATATCCTAAGACTTAAATCAATGAAGTATTTTGTTTTTTACTTTTCAGGTTACAGGAATTGACAGTTTGTTCAGAAGACAATGTTGATGTTCATGATATAGAATTGTTGCAGCATATTAATGTGGATTGTGCAAAACTGAAACGACTCTTGAAGGGTAAGTATGACTGTATGATATATCTAAAGATAATCACTGTAAGTAAAAAATGAGTATTATAAACAGTGCCAGTAGCTCTTGCTTCTTATCCTAGTTGTTTGGAGGCTGAGATTGGATGTATTGTTGTTTGAAGCCAGCTCAAAAAAGAGCAGAAAAAATTTTGAGACCAGTTCTCACTCATACTTGGGCTTGTGGCTCACACCTATTACTCAAGTTACAAGTAGAAGCCTAAAATATGTGGATCAAGATTCAAGTGTGTGGGCTGGGAACATGGCTCAGTGGTAGAGTGTTTGCCTAGCATGCATGAAGCCCTGGGTTTGATTCCTTAGTACCACATAAGCAGAAAATGCTAGAAGTACTGCTGTGGCTCAAGTGGTAGAGTGCTAGCCTTGAGCAAAAGAAGCTCAAGGACAGTGCCCAGGCCCTAAGTTCAAGGCCCAGAACTGGCAAAAAAAAAAAAAAAATCAGGTGTGTTGAGTAGAAAGTAAGACTTATCTCAAAAATAACTAGCACAAAAATGGGTTAGAGGTATGTTGCAGTAGTATAGGGCCTGCCTATCAAATGAGAGATCTTCAGCTCAAATCCCAGTTCCACAGAAACAAACATAGCCAAATAACAGCAGTATGAATGTACTAATTGTATTCAGCTGGAACATCAGAGAGGATTTGGTCCTTCAAATATTTTTGTGAGATGTTCAGTAATGTATCTGGCTCACTAATTTCTGAATCTTTAAAAATAAAAGTGAAGATGAGTATCTAAGATCTTGGCAATACAATATATATTTTTTAAGTTATTTTTTAAAGCTAGTCAGCACAGATTTAATTTTACCCACAAATGTATTTCCCAGTCTTTCTCAGCTATGTTTATTTTTTTTCTTCCAGTACTGAGGTTTGAACTAAAGTTCTTGAACTTGGTCAGCTTGCGTATTCAGCTTGTGTTTTTACCATTTGTCAGACCTCCAGCCTACTTCTTTGCTGGTTATTTTAGAAATAGAGCCTTTGGACTTTTCTGTCCCAGCTGGCCTATGTAATTCTCTTAATTACAAAAAGAGCCATTGGTGCTAGGAAGAGCCAACTTTTGTTGGGTGGGGAGAGGAGTTAGAGGGAGGGCTGTACCAGGGCTTGTAAGTTAGGGCCTTACACTTGTTTGGCTTGCTTACTTGGCTGGCTCTTTACCACTTGCACCACAATTTTTTTTTTTTGTCAGTCGAGGGGCTTGAACTCTGGGCTTGGGCACTGTCCTTGTGCTCTTCAGCTCAAGGCAAGTGCTCTACGGCTTGAGCCACAGCACCACTTCCGGTTTTCTAGCGGTTTATTTCTAGCCTCCTCAGCTAGGATTACATGCGTGAGCCACTGGCGCCAGGCTGCACCACATTTTTTTGTTGTTGTTGTGAACTCTAGGCCTAGGCATTGTCCCTGAACTCTTCAGCTCAAGGAGAATGCTCTACCACTTGAGCTACTGCGCTACTTTCGGTTTCCTGGTGGTTTATTGGAGATAAGAGTCTCACGGACTTTCCTGCTTTGAACTGTGATCCTCAGATCTCAGCCTCCTGAGTAGCTAGGATTACAGTTATGAGCCACCAGTGCCCCACCCATATTTATTTTTAATAATGAGATGTAAGAGTGTTTAATTTTTCAGGAATTTGATTCCTTAAGGATGGCTCTAGGTCATAGAAATGACCTGTTTAGCTATTGTAGTGTTTAAAGAAGATACTTGCTAGTGTCTTATGGATATAATCCTAACTATTCATGAGGTTGATCTCTGAGAATCACAGTTCAGAGATAGGCAGGCTAAAAAAAGCAAGGAGACTTTTACCTCCCGTCAAGCATTAGAAAGTTGAAAGTAGCCTAAGTGGTAGACTTACAGTCATAAGTAGAAAAATGGAGCAAGAATTTTGAGGCTCTGAGTTCAGTCCTCATTAACCAATGTGTGTACACACACACACTCTCTCTCTCTCTCCCCCTCCCTCCCTCCCTCCCTCCCTCCTTCCCAGGAAATTGTGATGAATTGAGCCAGGACACACACACAAATAGGATTTCAGTTTCAGTATCTTTTGGACCCAGGAAATTGTGATGAATTGAGCCAGGATTCTTAATTTCTTTTTTTTTTCCCCCCTGGTAGTGGGGCTTGAACTCTGGGCCTGGACACTCTCCTTGAGCACTTCAGCTCAAGGCGAGCGCTCTACCACTTGAGCCACAGTGCCACTTCAGTTTTCTGAGTGGTTACTGGAGATAAGAGTGTTATGGACTTACCTTCCCTGGCTGGCTTTGAACCACGATCCTCAGATCTCATTCTCCTGAGTAGCTAGGATTACAGGCATGAGCCACCAGTGCCCGGCTTAGGATTCTTATTTCTGATATTTCCATTTTTATTTTCTTTCTTGCCAGCTTTACAGCATTATCAAGTTTCAGCATCTCAAAGACTAGTTTTGCTTTGTGTCAATCATCTCACATGGGGATGAGAGGATATTACAGGATGGAAGATGTGATTTAAAATTTTTTGAAAGGGCTTCACATGATTATGTGGATTGAAATAGAATTGAGAGAATTACTGTGATAAGCAGAAAGTGTTAATATGAATCAACATTGTGTACCATTCATAAACTTCAGCTATGAGTACTTTTAAATTTCTTTTTACTAGAATACCTTGTAGGCATCATTGGATCTTTACTAATTTAATCAACAAACTTTACAGTATACAGTTCATAGTTTTTTTTTTTTGTTGTTGTTGGTTGTGGGGCTTGAACTCTGGGCCTGGGCGTTGTCCCTCAGCTCTTCAGCTCAAGGTGAGCCCTCTACCACTTGAGCCACAGTGCCATCTGGTTGTCTAGTGGTTTATTGGAGATAAGAATCTCATAAACATTCCTGCCTGGGCTGGCTTTGAACTCTGATCCTCAGATCTCAGCCTCTTGAGTAGCTAGGATTATTGGCGTGAGCCACCAGTGCTGACTGAATTCATTGTTTTTGTTTTACTTTATATCTTGGTTAAGGTATTATCAAATAGTGTTTTTAATTTGTTTATCATTATTAAGTAATTATATAAACGGGTTATGGTTTCATAAGTCAGGTTATGAATATAATGCTTCTTGGTGTGTCACCTCTTCATTCTCCTTCATATTCCCTACCAAAGAGTGTTTTGTGTGTGTGTGTGAGGGGGCGGTGGCGGGTGGCTGGGTTCTGTCCTTGAGCTTCTTTTGGTCAAGGCTATCATTCTACTACTTGAGCACAGCTCTTCTTCTGGCCTTTTCTGAGTAGTTTATTGATAATGCATTGCAAGAGTACATTTAATAGTCACTTATTTTCAAGTTCAAGAAAAGAAAATCATGAAGGATTCTTTAGCTGTATCCTTGGAGACTCATTTCTATTAGACAGATTTTATGTACATGTAATAAAAATTAGTATTCTTAGGAGGAGCTGGCCACCCTCGGCTTGTGCCTATAATCCTAGTTACTCAGGATGCTAAGATCTTATAATCACAGTTGGAAAATAGTTAATGCTGACAAATCCAAATGAGACTTTTCTCCAATTAACCAGCAAAAAGCTGAAACTGGAGACATGGTTCAAGTGATAGAACATCAGCCTGAGTAGAAAAAGATGAGCAAGCCCTAGTACCAGCACAAAGCAAAGCAAGCCCTTGTATTGCCAAAAAAAAGAGCTTAGTATGACCAAAATGTTGTTATAGATATTTCTTATATATATACATAGGAAAAAGAATGAAAGAAAACCCATCTCTATGAATGTTTCTATAGTGTAGAATTATGGATGAATCTAAGTTTAAGGCTTAGGCAGTTGCATATTATTTAAAACAATTTTATTATGACCATACATTTTATACCTTTTTGAAATGTAAATAAAAATAAGGAAAGACTCAACTTTGGAAAATCAAGGCATATTTGTTTTTTTGTTTGTTTGTTTGTTTTTTTTGGTCCGCCATGGGGCTTGAACTCTTGGCCTGGGCACTGTTCCTCAGCTCTTGAGCTCAAGGCAAGCACTCTATCACTTGAGCTACAGAGCCACTTCCGGTTTTCTAGTGGTTTATTGGAGATAGGAGTCTCACCGTCTTTCCTGCCTAGGCTGGCTTTGAACCACGATCCTCAGATCTCAACCTTCTGAGTAGCTAGGATTACAGGCGTGAGCCACCAGCGCCGGGTGGCATATTTGTTTTTATTGAATTTTGTCTTTATTGGTCTTAATTTATGAGTTGGAGTTTATATTAATTATGTTTACCTTGATATTGCTTATAAATAATGAATGAAAACAGCAGGTAAATGAAATGTTACTTTGCTAATAACTCTGAACTGTATTTATGCTAATTAAATAATTTGGAGGTAAATAATTTTTTTTTTCCTACCTCAGAAACAGCATTTAAATTTAAAGCCCTAAAGAAGGTTGCACAGTTAGCTGTTATAAACAGCCTGGAAAAGGTAAGCTGCAGCATCTTTATATTAAAATTATGCTCTTGGGAGCTAGGAATGTGGCTTAGTGGTAGAGTGCTTTTTTAGCATACATAAAGCCCTGGATTCAATTCCTTAGTACCACATAAATAGAAAAAGCTGGAAGTGGCACTGTGGCTCAAGTGATAGAGTACTACCCTTACCCAAGTCTTGAGCACAGGCTCCAGGACTGGCCAAAAAAAAAAAGAGGGCAGGCGCTGCTAGCTGTGCCTAGCTACTCAGGATACTGAGGCCTGAGGATCAAGGTTCAAAGCTAGCCTAGGCAGAAAAGTCCCTGTGAGACTCTTATCTCTAATAAGCAACTCAAAAACGGAAGTGATGCTGTGATTCAAGTGGTAGAGTGTTAGCCTTGAGCACAAAGAGGCGCAGGGACAATGCCCAGACCCTGAGTTCAAGCCTCACAACTGACAGAAAAAAAGAAAATTATGCTCTTAATTAATAGTTTTGGTATCTTTTGTATTTTGAATTTAAAACTAAGGATAGTTTTATGTTAATTTTTGAAAGAATGAATTATAATACTTTTATTAAGAACATTAGAAATACTGGCCATTTACTGTATTAAGAAAAGTTCATGGTTTTCATATCAAGACATGCGTTATTATTTGTAGGCCTTTTGGAACTGGGTAGAAAATTATCCAGATGAATTTACAAAGCTCTACCAGATTCCACAGACTGATATGGCTGGTAAGGATAAGATTAATTTTTTTTGGGGGGGGAGGGTCTTAAATGCTTTAACAAGGTAAAAATTTGGTGATTTCCAGATTTTTCTTTTGTAAAGAGCTTCATCTTGTATTAACTGATAGTAAATATTTTTTCATATTTCTGAATTATCTCTAGCCTTTTCCCTTCCCTTCCTTTGAGCAAACAAATTTAAAATGAACTCTAATCTTTAAAGTTGTGATTAGTTATTTCATCTGCATTTCAGAAAAGCAACTTATTTGGTGTGTGTTCTCAGGCTTTATTTTGTATTTAGAGAAGTGTGTCGAAAGTAAGAATTCTTGAGGATAGCTGCATGGCAGAAAATACAGATTGGGGAACTTGAATAACTCTCCTTGGGAAGATGTGTAGTCCTTCTTGCTTTATTGCACTTTGCATAGGGCCTGCCACATTGAGACAGAATACAAAATTAGCATTTTAAGATGGGGACTTTTTCAAAATGGATCAGGATAGCTCTTATAACATATACAATGTGACATTGCTTGTCTACTTTCTGGATGAGTTTTATAGTTGTTTAACTATCCAAGTTTATCTCTTAAAATTGTGGCCTTTGGGCTTTTGAACAGTGTTGGCTTTTAATTTGAAGGCAAGAATTTTTTTTCCTTATCTAATACTGTCATTAATATTTGTATTTTTTTATATAGAGTGTGCAGAAAAGCTGTTTGACTTGGTGGATGGTTTTGCTGAAAGCACCAAACGTAAAGCAGCAGTTTGGCCACTACAAATCATTCTCCTTATTTTGTGTCCCGAAATAATCCAGGATATATCCAAGGATGTGGTTGATGAAAACAATATGAATAAGGTGAGGAGGGCAAAATTAATTTCCATTATATCCAGATCTGAAGCACTTTGTTTTTACTCAAGGTATGTATTACTTTAGGCTTATCTTAAAAAAAATTTTGTGTGTATATTTTACTGGATTTTTTGGACTTAGGTATTTGTACTAGCTAGGCAGTTGCTCATATTGCTAGAGCCACATGTTTCCAGCCCTTTTAGCTCTGGATGTTTTTGAGATAGTCTCATCTTTTGCCTAGACTAACCTGGACCGCCATTCTCATATTTATGCTTCCTATGTAGCTGAAATGACAGGTACGTAATGGCACACCCAGCCTTTTCTGTTGAGGTAAGGCAACTTTGTTGCCTGATCTGGCCAGAAACAGATATTCTTGATTTCAGCTTTCCATGTAGCTTGGCTGACTGGTGTGTGATACCATGTCTAGCTTTTGATTGAGATAAGATCACATAAACTTTTTATTTGGGCTGGTACCTAATTGCAGTCTTTCTGATCTTTGTCTTTTGTTCTTTTTTTTTTTTGCGGGGGGGGGGAGCGGTTCCCGGTCATGAGGCCTGAACTCTGGGCCTGGGTGCTGTCCCTCAGCTCTTCACCTCAAGGCTAGCGCCCTACCACTTGAGCCAACAGCACCACTTCTGGCTTTTTTCTTTCTGCTTATGTGGTGCTGAGGAATCGAACCCAGGGCCTCAGGCATGCAAGGCAAGTGCTCTACCACTGAGCCAACTTCCCAGCCTTGATCTTTGTCTTTTGAGTACCTAGGATTATAGGTTTGAACCACCAGTATTTGACTGGGTTCATTATTCTTTAAGCAGATTATCTTATGGTACAGTTTTAATTATAATCATTCTAGGTGTCTGTTTGCTAGCCTTTGTAGATTAATATGTATAATTTTATTTGGAACAGGTATAAATACATGATTCAGTGATCAAAGAATTAAAACAATTTCTTAGTTATAGTTTCTCAGATAATCATTTCATCTCAGGTGTGACCCTACTAAGACTATTACTTTTTTTTAAAGGTGTTTGTATATACTGAAACATGCTTTAATATGATGCTACTGAAATGATCTAGTAACTCATTTTAGGCATTTTAGAATGATTTATTTTACAGAATTGAAAATGGCATTATGTGTTGAGATTGTCACTCCCAACAACTGGAAATTAAAAAAAATATTGTTATTAAAGTGCTGTGTTGTACAAAGGAGTAACTTTCATAAAGCAGGTAATGGGTACATTTCTTTTCGGACAATGCCACTCCTTCCTTTGCTTCCCCCCAGTTCAACTGGAACTTTTAAGAGAAATAAAAAGCTGAGTATCTTATTTTTTTTTTGAAGTTCAGTATGAAGTTGCTTTGATATGTATTTTTTTCTTTTGCCACTTTGGGAGAAACGTGACTAGATGACATGGGCTCCTATATAACCTGATCATAAGTGGAGATTTACTACTTTGTAGAAATTATTGGTAGAGAATTTAGGCATTAAAGTATAAATCAGTAAAGTCCTTGAGAATCTATGTTCTTGTGGTATTCCTTTTAGGTCTTTGGCCCAACTTTGATTGTTTATTCATTTGTTTGTTCATTCATTCTGGTGCTGAGGATGGAAGCTAAGGTTCTTCACTCATGCTAGTTGAGTGTTCTACCAATAAGTTGCATTCTTAGCTCCCATGTCTCAGGTTTTTTTTTTTTGTTGTTGTTGTTGTTGTTGGTCCTGGGGCTTGAACTCAGAGCCTGGGTACTGTCCCTGAGCCTCATTGTGCTCAAGACTAGCACTCTACCACTTGAGCCACAGATCCCCAACTATCTTCAAACTGCAATCTTCAGATCTCAGCCTGCTGAGTAGCTAGGATTACAGGAGTTAGCCACAGCCACTCAGCTGTGATTGAGGGTTTCATTTGGCAATTGAGCTCTTCACTTCCAGGATTTTAATTAGTTTTTTTTTTTTTTGTTGGTCGTGAGGCTTGAACTCTGGGCCTGGGCACTATCCCTTCGCTCTTCAGTTCAAAGCAAGCATTCTACCACTTGAGCCACAGCACCACTTCCGGTTTTCTATTGGTTTATTGGAGATAAGAGTGTGGAGGACTTTCCTGCCCAGGCTGGCTTTGAATTGTGATCCTCAGATCTCATCTCAGCCTCCTGAGTAGCTAGGATTACAGGCATGAGCCACCTGCTCCTGCTTAATTAGATTTTTTTTTAAAAGTTACCCTTTCTCCATTGAATTTCTCATACTTTGCATTGCCTTCTTTCGTTTGTCCTTTCTTGTTGCTTATTTGGTTTCTGTTGTTGTTTCTCATGTTTGTTTAAATCCTCTTAGAATTAATCCAGCTTTTTAAACACCTATTCCATTATAAATCATCCTTCCTTACTGTTGTTTTATTGAGCTCATTGGTTAGATATTCTTCCTCTTTACTCTAATTTACTTTTTGTTTTTCATGCTGGTATTGGGACTTGAACTCAGGGCCTGGGTGCTGTCCTTCTGCTTTTTCTGCTCGAGGCTAATGATCTACTCCTTGAACCATAGCTCATTCCATTTCCAGCTGTTTGGTGGTTAATTGGAGATGAGTCTTCCAGTCTTTCCTTCATGGGCTGGTTTTGAACCACAATCCTCATATCTTAGCCTCCTGAGTAGCTAGGATTACAGGTGTCAGCCACTGGCACCTGACTCACAGTTAATGTGGCATTATTGTTTCTTAAAAATGTTTTTAAATTGTTATTACAGAGGAGTTACAGTTACATAACAAGTCTATGCTAGGATATAGAAATAAAAAAGTAAATTGCATTTATATGATTTACAATAAAGATAAGCCATTCAGTTAAACATAAACAACACTCACAATTGAACCAAAATAAGAAAACAGACTTAAATACTATAATTTTTTATTTTTCATTTTTATTTATTTATTTTCTTTGGGTCCGGTTGTGGGGCCTGAACTCTGGGTCTGGGCGCTATCCCTCAGCTCAAGGCTAGCACTCTACCACTTGAGCCACAGCACCACTTCTGGCTTTTTTCTTTTTGCTTATGTGGTGCTGAGGAATCGAACCCA